TCTCCGACCCCCACGGTCGTCGAGGTCGTCGCCAGCCACGCGCTCGCCTTCTTGCTGCCGGGATACCCGTGCATGCCGTCCTCCACGGGACGCGGCTCCCTTGCCACTCGGCGTCCCGCTGGTGAGCCCACCGTCGAGCAGCCGCTCCGGCCGTGCCGAGGCGCTCGGGCTCGCGAGTCCTCCCTGGTGACTCATTCGAGGACGAGCGCGGCGGGATCTCTTCTCGCCGTCGGTGATGCGGCCGGTCGGCCAGCGCTGGGGTCTCCGCCTGTCTCGGTCCGGATTTGGGAAGGTAGTGTGTAGATTTACTGCTTTGTAAATTATCACCACTACTGTTAAAGCCAACATTTTGTCATCTTAACATTATGATTACTTTACAAATTAAGTGCTCTCCCACATATTTTACTATGTCGTGACATAAGACATTACGAGTGAGTATCTACTGATTTCATCAGATTATACTCCTTGGTGCTGCGAGATCTAATCCATTTTGGAGACTATCTTCAAGATGTCATACTTAGCAATTTGAGATTCACACTAATGATTTCAATCTAAGTTCTTGAAATATCCATTAATTTTGCAAAATTCATTAGAACACTAACCATGATGGTCGTTAATTTACTGATCATAAATTAATTATCTCTGGTAACCGATGGCTAGAGAATTTGAGGCATTCGCCCTCAATGGCCACCATAGCCCTACCTGGGCCATGGACATCATGATCGCTCTTGTGTCACGTGGGATAATATGTGCAATCCAAGACCTGTCGGATTCACCTACGCTTGGAGTCACACCGCTAACAGGATAAATATGTTACCTTATGCATCATAAGGCATTATATCGATCTAGATCTCAGCATCTGGTTATTCTGTATTAGCAATCCCTGGGATACAAAGGGCCTTAAGGGCAAAGGTTTGAAGCCCACTCCAACCATCAACCTGACATCATCAAAGGTGAGGGGACCATATGGGCACGAAGAACGTGATGGTTGAATATGCCTCAACCGACATGTTTGGAGACTATGAATAGTCTCTCAGTCTCCTGAGTGGTCAATATAATTTATGTCCATTTTTTATGTTGTAATAAGAACATATGTATTGTTGTCATCATATTGTACATCACAATACATTGTATCAGCACTTTGGTACAAATTCATTTGTATGTATTCTATATATCTGACAGTGATTTTCTTGAGAATGTTCATGCCTATATATAGATTTCTATAGGGGTTAATCTGATGAAGGATGATTTGTGCCATGTCGACATATGCACTAGAGCTCTATAGACATTCAATCCACCGGTTTGCTTAGAGGCATCTAACCTTATAGGCCACACCCAAGTAGTGTTGCTGCTTTTCTCCCCGTGTTGCGGTATCTTGTAGCCTAAAAATAAACACTAGTCAGGCATGTGCATTGGTTGCAGTATTGAATTTACTGAATTGCTCGAAACTAAATTGGGGTGCTACACACCGATAAAGTGTATCCACGAGCATTGCAGACATATCTTAACATGCGGAGTGCTTGGTCTGCTTTGGCATTAGACCTAGCACGCTCCACATAGATTAATAATTAGTTGTTCTTATTCGAATAACATCCTATTGATATTATCACTTAGCCTCAAAAAAAATATTTTCTTTGTCATGTCAAATATTTCAAATATCATGATCAATACTAATTTTTTTTGAGATCCTATCAGTAAAAGGAGATTCTAGATCATATACTTTAAGAGAACTTAACATCAAGTAATTACATTCGCCAATATTCAGAGCAAATAATAATCCACCATTTTTAAGAAGATAACAAGCTATGTCAAAGATAACTTTTACTGTGTGATATGTATGTCATTTTAAAGCACCAAATAATTTCAAATATCAGAACTTAAGAACCAATTAATAACAACTTATGCACAAGATATACTTTGGTATATATCCTTGTTTAACACAAAATACTTTGGTATATATCTATTCAGTTTTATAAGTAGTAATCAACTCCAGCCAAAAGTAGAAGGGCAAGAACTGATCCTCCCAGGTCTGGTCATGCTTATATAAACACCAACACAAAAGGCATAGGTTGACAAGTGCAAACTACAAGGATACTTGCACATACGTAGAAATAAAGAAACAAGAAACCATTCCTCATGGAACTTATCAAGAACAACACAAGAGCCCTACTCTTGGTAGCTCTTGTGATGATGTCTACCACCCTATTATCATGCCATGCAGGTACTACAGTCGTTTGTCTATATATTTTCATATTCATTTTTAGCATGCGCACGCCTTTGCATGTGTAATTCAGCCTAACCCATGTAACTTACGTAATTTATGTATGCTGACGCTGCTATACTTTCTCGTGCACAGGTTCAACAAAACCAATCCCCTTGGACTTGTGTGTGCGTTTTGCAAGCTGTGAGAAAGGCCATGAATCCGAAGAGGCGTGCAGGAACCACTGCTCATTTTTCGAATTCAAAAAAAGCCACTGTAAACCAGACAATGGTGGTTCTTGCTGCTGCTCTAATTAAACGACGTAGAAACAATGGATGGGTCGTGCTAATAAATCGGTGCGTGTAAGATAAGCTAAGATACATGTGCACCATGGATCTGTCTAGTTCATGCAAAAGATTCAATAAACTATTTATCAGAAATTTGACTGCGATCATTTCTTCAGAACAGAGGAACCAATTGTTGTTGTTTTTTAAGCAAGGAAAGATTAATCTATTTTTGCAGTAAAATCAATTGGTCGGGCCTAAGTCAGGCACGAAGGCCTCACGAGACGCGCACGGGCCTCACTCCAGCCCTCCGATCCAGGGCCGACAGTGAGAGAGCATGGGCATGGGGCCAGATCCGCCGCCCACCAAGTGGCCGGTCGGTGATCCCGGCCCTCCCGTAGTTAAGGCTCGCCGCCTTCCACGTCGCGCTGCCGGCCGGGCGGTGAGACATGCTGGGAGAGCGCCGTTGCCGGTGTCTTACCAACGGCTACGATCCGCTTTACTCGGATCGCTTGCAAAATGTTGCGCTTACAGTACGGATCAAACAAGTACGTACTTGATCGACACATGATAAAGTATGACACCACTTGCAACTAAGTAAGTACTAAAACTGTGCTCCGTGCGTGCGAGAGACAGAGACATGCTGCGACGCCAAGCAAGCCCAGCCCCGCAGGAAACCCGGCCGGGGACACCCAGTCCCCATGCACTCCATCGGTCTCTCGGGCCAACTCCACCGTGCGACCCAAAAGGATGTCCGTTTTGTCCGGATTTTGTCCGTTTGGGTAGGGGTTTGGGATCGTGTCCGGGCCTGTTCTGGATGCGGTGGCCGTGCGCCCAGCGCGCGGCCGCATCCATTTGCCCCATCCTATCCGTGTATATTTCTTTGCAAGTCCTTAATTTTTTTTATTATTCATTTTTGGTACATGACAATACATCATCGTATTTTGACTAGTAAAGCAAGGCCAAAAAAAACAAGAACCACAAGAATACATTTGAGAAGATACCCAACTTCCATAGCTGCTCCCTTGAGTTGGGTTAGCGCCTTCTCAATGCACTCATTGTTGATCTGTGGAGGAGGCACGACGTTGCCCCCTCCTTTCTTCTTCAAGCCAGAAGTCGATGTTGCTTCCTCACACATAGTATCGTGCCTTGTTGCTTCTTCGCATATAGTATCGTGCCTAGACTCTAATCTAGCAACAAGTGCACTAGTCTCATCTAAAACCTCTAGGCTAGCTAAAAGTGCACGAACATGCACTACATTTCGCTCTATCAACATATCGATGTACTCTTCTTCCCAATACAAAAACTTGCATCCGGTCTACACAAAAAAAACTTAAAGTTAGCACCACTAGTGTAATCCAAGAGCACAAACCGAAGCTAAAAGAGCACATACCCCATCGTTTAAGCACTTGATGAACACCCATCCGGGATGCTCCGGCGTTGTAGACACGCGGCGCACGACCACCCTTGGGCAGTGGTCGCATGCACTTGATGAGGGGCAACGGTGCGCCGACGAGCTTTTGGGCAAGCACAGAGCCCGGCCGGCCGCCATTCGCGTATCTGTCGGCGGACCACCGACGGTGCAGATCCGAGCGGCTAGAGGACGAGCCACTGCCTGCATGTGGCCTTGCGGCCCTGCCAGGGCCTTCCGGGAAGGTGCCCGGCCAGTCCATGGCGCGGCCCGGCCTCCCACAGCCAGGCGAGCTCAAGACCGACCGGATCCGCCCCAAATCCGGCCGGCGGGTGCGCAAACAAGGTGGCCGTGCTTGGGTAGCTCGGCGGCGACGAGAGGAAGGGCTGGGCAAGCGCGCGTCCGAGTTGCACGGCTGCAATGGCAGCGGGCGGCCGGCGGCGGCGAGGGGGAGAGAGGGGAAAAGTGGGGAAGAGTGGAGTGGATGCGGCCGGAGGAAGGGAGGGGGCGGATAGAAAAAGGCGCGTCTTGTGCCACCGACGGCCGGGCCAGGGGAGGACACGCGCAGACGCCCCGCGCGTCCGCGTGATGTCAGTTTCACCCAAAAAACGGCGCAAACTTGAGCCGCGGATGGGTCGAAAGCGGACACAAAACGGATAAAAGTTCGTTTGTGCCCGCGCGCTGGGCCGCCTCCTTTGTCTCTTTTACCCCAAACGGACGGAGGCGGACAGGATAGGGTCGCGCGGTGGAGTTGGCCTCATGCCGGATGAATCATCTTTCTTTCCTCCCACAACACCAAATGCACATCCCTTTCTTCCCCTTTCAACCCCCGCTCCATCCATGCCTTGCCACTAACCAATGACACGACCAAAAGGGCCTCCTCCCATCCCATGCATGCACACAGCAATAAGCCTACTGTGGTACTCATACTCTGTCCGTCGCGTCACATAGACGCACTGAAATCGATCAATTGGTCCCGAATTCACATGGTTTGATTCATCTTTCCATCTTACTTACTTACAAGCAACCATGACGACAAGTGGACAACCAGTCAGTAATTTTAACGAGTGCGCTTAACTTGTAGTAGTACTACTGCCTGGTACTACTACCTGGTTACCCAGCAGCGCACTCCCAAGGCCCTGCTCTGCTGCTTGCCGGCCTTCTCGCCGCAGTCGCACAGCAGGTGGCTCAGCATGTTCACCACGCTCGTGCCGATGGACGTCACGTTCAGCACCGGGCTCATCCGGACCCCGCCGCCACCATGGCCGTCGCTGCCGTTCCTGCCGCCGCCGTATCCGTAGTAGTAAACCGATCTCGCACCAGCACCGCTGTTCCCGTTGTGAACGCCACCGGATGCGGTTGTCGGAGCGACTTTCTTGCAATGCTGCCGCTGGTGGGCGCCCACCGTGGCCGTGGCCGCCGCAGAGCCGGTGGACCGGCTCCGCATGAGCGGGAACGCGGGGCAGGTGAACCTCCCTGACGCCGCCGACGCCGCCCTGGCGGAGTTGACGCTGCTGCTGCGCGCGAACGGGGACGCCCACGACCGCGGCGCCGGCCTCGTCGCCTTGGCGCAGCGCGCGTGCGGGGCGGTGGGCGGCAGCGGCGGCACGGGGAGCAGCTTGCCGTCGGCGAAGAGGCGGTCGGCCGGCGCGACGTCGGCCGCCGCCGCGTTGGCGAAGTCGAACTCCGGCTCGGCCACGCGCCGCCGCCTCCGCCGCGACATGAGGGACGCGTCCGACCGCCTTGGCTCGGGCTGCGTAGTCGTCGGACACGCCGCGAAGGCCGCGAGGTCGTGCGAGAAGGAGATCCTGGGGCTGATCAGCTCCGCCGAAGCTTCCTCCTCCTCCTCCTCCATGGTACTACTGGATCAGCAAGGGGAAGCAAGTTGCTGTCAGAGATGCAGAACGCGATGTGAGAGCTGCTGCTCCCTAGAAGAAGGTTGAGAGGAACGTGGATATAAATAGGCGGCATGGCGAGTGTGGTGCGGAGGGTCCGGGGAGGTACCGGCCAGGACGGCAGGGCCCGTTCGCCGTGCTGTACAAACCTCGCATCCGATCGAATTCTGATTGCAAGTGAGAGGTGAGGTTGATTCGATCTCACTCGCGCCACCGCAGGGATCCTGGTCCCTTGGTCGGTCGGGTCACCTACCTACGCGAATGAATGGCATAGCCGCATAGGAGGAGTAGCTCCCTTTTTTGGTTCATTGAACGTGAATTTTTGGCAATCAAACTTGCCCAAGCATCAACCCACAATTGATCCCAGTTTACTTCTGACCTTGTTGTAATTTTTAAACAAATCTCTCGTTGGAAGATTTTATGATGCTGATTGATGAGTTTAATAATAAGCGGCTTAGGTCACATCGTTTTCCCAATTAGTTGGGTACGGATACAAAAAAAATCGCGATGCCAGATTGCCACATGGCTCGACATGGACAAGAGAGGAACCCGAGCGAGGCAAGCAAGCAGGCTCTGCAGCTCACTTGCCCCGGAATGGAACAGGAATATCATGGCGAGGGGTCTGTCCAGTCCCTGTCTCCATGAATGAAACGAAACTGTGGGATCGAGCACAAAAACATGGCGGAATGGGCTTCCGTTTTCGTGCGCATTTCGACCGATCGATGGATCAAAAACCTCCAAACGTGAACAGAAGAGGAAGCTTCGCTCCTTCCCTATCCTGCACCGCGGAACAGGAAAATCGTACAGCGAGCAGGATTCCGCTGTCTGCTCTCTGCCCTGCCTCTAGACTCCACTAGTAGTCGCTATAGCAGAGCAAAAGCGGGGGCAGGGACGCTGAAATCTTGTCCGTTCTGCCCGGAGTGGTGAAACATCCAATCGGCCAAGGCGAAATGGCAGCGTAAATTCTTTCCAGGATGTAGCGTGTCGTGTAGCACACCGTGCTGGTTGCACTTGCACATATAGGACAGTAGAGTGGGCGTGCTCCTTTTGGAATTTGGACAGTGGGCACGCGACGCTAGCATGGCTCAATTATTCGACACACAACACAAGCGCACACTCCTCGCTCGCTTTAGTTAGTGCAACGCTGGCTTGGCTGGACCAGGATGCATATGGATCGATCGGGACGAATCATTGTGCATCGCCATGCATCCAAATGAAATGATCTCCACCACCTGATTATACATACATACATACAGTATACTAAAAAAAGTTACGGTTGCACCGACTCGATAGCTCCACCGGACGGCACAAAAATAGGCCCGTGCTGGTGTGGCGAAGGCCGGCTGCATGCGCCCCTAGCTAGGCTAGGGTAGGGGTGGTGGTGGTCAAAGTCGCAGGGGGGCATCTGGAACAGAGCCGCCCATGTATTCAGGGAAGCATGCATGTGTGGATGCGCTCATGCAGCAACTATGCATGAGGAGCACGAATGTTTGGACGTGCGGCGCACAGTCATTCTAGGTTTCTGATTCTAGGGAGAAAGAGAAACTGTTCCTCCTCGGCGCGCACTGTGCTCGTGTCTTTGACCTGCATCCACCGACCGATCTCCTCCACCTTCTACGGCGGACGGCGCTGCTGTGCTGTGCTGTGCATGGGTGTTACGGCCTCTGACGGTGTCTGGTTGGCTGCTTGGGGTCCCAGCCATTCCTGGATCTATGGTGGTGGATCTTGGCATCTTGCAGTCACCCTTCACTGTTTCACTCGGGGAGGATGAAAATCCCGCATCGGTACGCGGACAGGGATCGGGCACGGGTGTGAGAGGCCGCCATCCAACGTATTTTATATATGTCCGCTAGTAAATTCAAATCCAAGTGTATGTTGATCTACACAACACGTCGGATCGCATTCTTGATCACAACCAAAAAAAAGGCAAATATGATTAGTTTTTACATTTTCGAATCCAAAAGAACATCAGTCCGGTAGTTCACGCATTTCTGCCCTGCCAGACCGGCAATCCCCGCAAGCTGCTCTCCGACCAAGAAGGTGTCGTCGCCGCTGCGTAGGCAGCCTCCGCGTCCTCATCGTCCGCTACCACCAACTCATCTGCAACAACTGGTAGCAGAAGGATTGCACGATCATTCTAGCATCGGTATCCAAAGAGTCGACATTCAAGGTCAACCTCTTGGCTTCCTCCGCATTGGCGGCGATTTTCGCCCTCTTTTTTCTCGAGCGCGGCCTTTCTCTCTTCGATCATGGTCCTCCACTCTTCGAGTTTGATCCTCTTCTCTGTCGCCTCCATCAATTGTTTGAACCTCTCTGCCTTCTCATCCTCCTTGATGTCCGAGTGCCACACGCATGCCGCCTCCTTCTTCACCAAGATGTCCTCGAACCTCTCTATCAGCTTAGCCGCCTCACCTTCTCGCTTCGCCCTCTCCTCCTCCCACTCCTTGCCTTCTTCGGCAGTTCTTGGGTTGGGTTGGTAGGGTCATCAGTTTCTTCCTCATTGGCTTGGGCGGTGGTCTTGCGAATGATAAGGTTCCACTTCGGTTGCCCATTCAACTTCAACTAACAATGCATGATGGTGAAGGACTTCTTATCCAACTTCTTTTACACCACACAAGCATGGTAGGCTACAAAGTGAAACAATGCATATCCGTCTAGCGAGCAAAAAAACAGTCCATGTACGGCTAGTGGTCAACTAAACTAAAGCATATCTGGCTAGTGATCGACTTACTTGCTCGGTGATTTGTGCACCGCTAGGCCACCGCATGATGAGATGCTTCAAGCGCCCACAATACCTGGACACGACCTCTTGGATGGTTAAGGGACTTCCACTCACGGTTGCGGATGACCGCGTCGGAGTAGGGCATGAAATGCTTGTGTTCATGGAACCATATGTGAATGTTCCTCCAAAAGGTTGTGCTCTTTTGCTCCGTGTCATGGAGAGGATCAAGGCTAGTGGCCAACCATGCATATCACAACAGTTCGTCCTCCCGCATGTTGAAACTTTCTCATCTACCCTTCTTCTTCGGATCGCCGGTTGTATCATCCGGATCATCATCGTCACTGTCCTCCTCCTCCCCCTCTGGATGTTGCTCTCCGGCGGCCCAATGCTACTGTTGTTGTGTGCCATCGCCGATCTGGGTGTAGGACAATTGTGTGGCCGTCTGGTTGTAGGACTGCTGCTCCTGGTAATTGCCAGACTTGGTGAAATTTGAGTCTTCCACATGCCTGTACTTATAGCCCCCTCATCCTCCCTTGCCTCCATCGTGGATGATGTCAAGCATCTTCATGTCCGCGTCGTACGCCAGCTCCCCCGCTCTGGGCACCCATCTACTCCCCGGCCGCCGGCCATGCCCGGACGAACTACAACGAAGAATACTCAGAGAAGAGCGGCGCCACATTAACGTCGATAATGTAAGGCACCGTACCGGTGGTAGTTCCGAGCTGCTTGGCGGAGTAGTAGTACGGCTCCAGCCACGACGTTGTATGTATTGTCTTTGTTCCCGTCTGCTGACGTCCGCCACGGCCGCGCCGACCGCCTCGTCTGCCATGACCTCCACGCCCATCGCCTACCACTAGGCCCACCGACAGCCAGCCGTTTCTTGAGCTTCTCCTCCTTTGTGGCCTTCGCTTTGACACGACGATTTTGCTGCATCTCCAAGCTGATCTTCCGAGAGAGCGTGATGCTCGGACCTCCGACACCTCTACCGACTCCATCTCCGATGGTTCCATGCATCGCGGCGGAAGGAAGGAGAGAGTGGGAATTGGGCGGAGAGCGGCAGGGAATGGAAGAAGATAGTGGGGGATTTTGGCGCAGAAATTGTGCGGGATGCTACAAGAGCGCGGGC